AAAAAAAAAAAAAAAAAAAAAAAAAAAAAAAAAAAAAAAAAAAAAAAGCGAAAACAAACAAAGTTGTACCTCTGAACTCCTCGACCTACATAAAATGCATATTACCTCGAGCTTCAATAAAATCCGATTTCACTCACGCTCTGTGATGCTTCCGCACAAAATTGTACACACACCCACATCAACGTATATACGAATAAACAAAGCGACTCGGCGTTCTGTGTGTGTTCCTGTGAAATCAAAAATGTAACCTGTCCCGGTATGTATTGTTACGTGATAAATTTTGAAAAATATTAAAATTCTGACATAGCAATAATAACAAACTATGTGCATCAAGCAAATTTTTATATAATTAAATAGTCATCATCGCTGTCTCTTTTGTATGGATCAAATTCATAACGACAGTAAATAACGATTTTTTTTAAGTGGTAACTACATGGACAAATACAATCGATGAATATTTTTATGTACTGTAAAATAATACACGAGCGATAAAACGATGACTAAAAAAACGTGTTGCAATGTAAACGTAATATGATAAAACACGATAAAAAACTGAAACAATTAATATTTTGTTACATTGCAGTAAAAAAAAAAAATTAAAAATAAAAATTAGTTTAATATTGACATGATGATCTCTAAAGTACCTATTTTTTATTATTGCGTGCGTATGAATGTCTATTATGGAACTATGGCAAAAAATAAACTTTAACTAATTTTGAATTTTCTCTTCCATTACTAAGTATGTTTTGGATTTGATTGACACAAAAATGTATGTACACATATCATTTCGATAAGTAAGTAAGTAAATATTAATAAAAAAAAGTTCTAATATTATTATTTACTTAACCGTACTCCATAGAAGAAAAAATAGCATATACTCAAGAATTATGTGCATTATAAACGGGGCGTGTGAATTATTGCATGATTATTTTAATTATTTATTTACTCAACTTATGAGGAAAAAAATATTCCTCATCTGTACGTTTCTAAGAAAAAGAGCTTGACATTTGTGTTAAATTAATGTTGGATACTTTAGATGAAATATTCTCTGGTGCACATTTTCCCGGTGAGAGTAATATTTCGTTGCTATAATAGAAAAAAAAAAGTAGATGCGAAAACAGGACGAAGCGCACAAACACCAATGGAAATTAAAATTTGCCGATATCTTTCAAAATGTCTAATATAATACTGAAAGAAAATTTATTGTTCAAGTTCTTATTAGAAATTAAAAAAAAAAAAAAAAAAGGAAAACTGTTTAGCGTTGGAGATAGCCACTGGTTATTAAATATTAATGGCGAAAATAAAATGGAATGAATTTTTCTGGAAATAGTATGGATGTGTGTAAAAAATTTCGTTTCGCTAACACAAATAAAAGTGTGTTAATAAAATATTTAGGAAATAAAGGATAACGAGGATTGTAAAAGTGAAACACATTTAATGATGATTGTAGTAAATATAAGAAAAGGTAAGACGATAAAAAATTAATAAAAACTGTGGTAATGGAAATCCGTTTGTAAAAATTAATCAAATTGTGAATATTACATTTCACTATAACAAATGAACTGAGTAGATTAAGTGTTGGAAAAAAAAAAAAAAAAACAAGAAACAATAATTAAAAGACAGCGTTAATTGAACGTGACGTCACAAAAGTATTGACAGACGAGGAAGTGTTTCGATTACTTTGTTTGAAGTGATGCAAAAATCACAATAAGCTTGTGGCAAATACCACAATTTGGCGTACTTACACTTGGCACGTCAAAGTAAAAAAATGACGAAAATTTTAGGTGAAGTACATGATACTATAAACTTTACGCCTCTGGCTAATTTTCGTTTATATTACGTGTTGGCTCAAGTATTAAGCTTATATTGACTTTAGTTTCATACAACAAGAATATAAGTATTTTCTAATTAATTTTTTCAAACAATTGTCAAGACTTTCAAGCTTTTTGTTGGGGAAAAACAAAATAACAGCGGTCAGTAAAGTGCTAACTTTTATTTGGTTTGAAGAAAGCACTGATTACTTAAGAAAAATTTTTTTTATTTTTTTTGGTGTTAGTGTTTCGTGTAGTGGAAAATGTGTATTTTTTTTTTTTTTTTACTACTTCTGTGTTCACAACTGTGTGGAATGAAGAAGTCAACTCTATACTATAATAGTGAGAAGCGTTGTTCTTAAATGTTGATTGTCTTCTAAATCATCAGGACAGTGTGACACAAAAAAGTTGCATTTCAATGAGATCTACATTTTTCTTACCGTATACAAACTATTAATAAAAATTATACGAGTGATTACTGCTTCCATTACTGTTCCTAATGTTATCCTATAGGAGTTTTTATTATGAAGTCAAATTGGGTGACTTACACTGCAAAACTTGTACACAATTTAATGAGGTACTTTCACCTTATAACATGCTCCGACTAGTACAATCCAGGGAACCCTTTTATAATATAATTAATAATTAGCTAGCTATGTGTTGACAGTAGACTCAAATCCAATAGACCGTATGCAAGTAGAATATTAAAACCACGTGGTTTGTGTGTCTTTCAGTTTGATTTGTGGTTGAGAATTGCAATACTTGACGAACAAGATCAATTTTAAACTGTTGTCCACCGTTTTTTGCTTATGCTATAAAGGTGGAACACTCTTGCTTGGATAACCGAATACAGGATTGTTGATGATGGAAAGAAAGAGATGGTCGTGTTTACCTATGTCAAAGCTTTATTATATCGATTATCATCTTTATTTATATTTTCTTACGCTCTACCATGATTTTTCAATGAATTCATCTTAAATCTATTATATACATAAGGCTGTATCAAAATAAGAGCACCATTTACGACGTAAATGTGAGCCCCGTAAAGATTACATCTTTTTATTTATTTATTAATAATTTTTTGTATATATAGATTCCTATACTTTTTTTCTACTGATGTTTTCTTATACATACATTTTTATCGTTATGATGAACAATTATAATATAAATCTATGATATAGCCACCCACATTTCGTCGAAATGTATTATTTTTATTACACAAACCTTAAAGTTAGAATTATCTTTTTTTTAGAGTATGCAAATTTTAGTAAACATTTATTTACACTTCTCTTCTAATAACTAACACTGTGCATCACTGGCTCATCAATTTATCAACCTTTATTTCAGCTTGATTGACCTTGAATTTTTTTGTTGTCTCAACACCAGCTACTTCAATTAAAGGTACTTTCATTTTTTATGAAATTTTGACTTTTAATTTATCGATTTCATATCGGTATTTCAGACGAAGGTAAATCAGTACTGTTTCACAAAATTACATTAGTTGTTTCACGACATTTAAAATATCTTAACATGGTTCTTACTTTTGTTTTCGAAAAGTAGACTTTCATTCAAATTAATTAAAAAAACACTGTTAACTGATAAATTTTAAAAAATAATTATTTATATAAATTTTTTCACGATTATTTACAGTCTCCGGTGTAAAAGTTCATATTCATTGATTCCAAGTTTTGTACCTAATCTTCTCTTTAGATGATATATTTTTCACAACAGAGTAATATGATTGTATTAATTATAAATGTTTGTTAATGTCCCATCTATACATGTAGCCAATTATATTTACTAGTCATTGTAACCAAAGTAAAATACAGTTGGAGAAACGGAGCAAGAATTTCAAAGTTTTTAGTAAAATCCAAATTATTCGTTACGCAATGATTGAGAATCTACGCCTTTGAAAATGATCGCTTAGATGTTTTTGAAAATAACCAGGCGTACTATCATAAAACAAAGTTTTATTACTTTTGAATCAATAAAATTGAAAAATAATGCACATTTGTCTTGATTTTGCAATAGTTCCTATGATACTAAAAATCACAATTTATCTAACCAATATTTTCAAAAGTTTCGTTATTCTACACTTACAAATTCATTTGCATATTAAGTATACTAATTTTTTTTTTACACAAAAAGTAACAATCAGCTTATAAAATTGTCTTGCAAACACATTAACAAAAATGTGCTAGATACATTGATAAATTATTATTTTGTTACGTACTAAAATAATGATGATTCCTATTTGATATTATACACAATCGATAAAGTCAAGAATGGAAAAAAAATCTTTAAAGGACGTACTATGATTTTATTGGTGTTGCAAAAACTAGATAACATCGAAAGAAGTTAAGTTTTCAAGTAAAAAAAAAGAAGAGCGAATTCAGACAGCTTTGACGGATCCATCAATCTAGAAAAATGAGAAAAAAACATCCCACAGATTTTAGTTGCTGGTGGTGGATTTTAATCGTTCCGAGCACAAAACTATATGTGAGGATTGATGTCAGTTTTAATTTTGTAAATTCCTTTGAACTTATTTTGAACAAATATTCAATAAATTAAAAAATTTTCACTTTATCAATGACCTCCATCTATTGATACGAAACTAATTAAAATTATTTTAATCATCCACCGCAGGTCAACAAGTTTTCATGCTTGAAACAAAATTACTGTAGCAACTTACGTAAGATCTCAACAACAGAAAAAAGGTACAAGTCGCTCTTTTTTTTTCTTACTTTTTCAACAAGCCCGTTTTTCACACCCGGCATATGTATATGCGACAAAAGCAAGGTCCTCGACTTCGCGTTAAGAGAAAGAAACTAAAGGAAAAATTTTTTCAATTCGACGAACGCAGTTGACGCACATTCGGCCTCTTAATGTCCGCCGAACTGACGACGATTTTGCGCACGAGTCGCTTCGATTGCGCTCCCGCTGCCGTCTGTTGCTGCGACGCCGCTTTCGCCGGCGCTGTCAATGACGCCGGTGTTACTATCGCCGTCTTCTTGTGCGCCGTCGACATGTGCTTGGCGAACGCCTCGACTGGCACAAAGTTCTTGCACAGCCGGCAGCGCTGCACCAACGTGCCTGAGATTTTAAGAGCATGCCATTTTTTAAAAGTTGGAATAATCAATTTTAAGTAGGTGAAAAATTTTTTTTTTTTTTTTTTTTTTTTTTTTTTTTTTTTTTTTTTTTTTAACACGATTTTTTTAATCTGCTAACTGAAATGTTTAGAGACCATAACGTACTTTAACTATGTGAAATCTCAGTATCGGCATCATCACCAGGATCGTTAATTGGATCTATGTAATAAGTGAAATAAACAAAAAATTGACTCTAAAGTTGAGCTTTTTAAAGCTTTACTTGAATTATCAATGGAATCGAGCAAAAAATGAAACAATTTTAGCTGCTAAACTCAAAAATAAGAGAGAGGAAAAGAAACACCACTACATATTATACCTACCGGTTTTTTTAGTCCTGTGCTGCAAGCGATGAGTATCAAGTGCAGTAGCACTCGAGAACCACTTTCCACAAAGCAAACAATTCAGCTTCTTCACTTTCCACGACCGACCGCCGGTACTCGTAGTCAGCTTCTTGTCGGCGTTTGCTTCATCTTCCTGTGAAACGTCCTCGAGCTCTGTTTTTTTTTCCGGAGTCATTTCTTCCTTTACCTCGATCTCGTCCTTTTCGCTTTCAATTTTCATTTTCTTGGCCACCTCAGCGTCCGAAGCTTCCGACTCCGGCTTGTCGCCGTCACTTTTCGACCTATCTTTGACAGGCCGGCCCCTCTTTCGAGACTCCGTTTGATTCTCGTTTTTTTCCGGCTTGGAAGTCGTAGCTTCATCATCCTTTGGTAACTCGTCTTCCTCGGTTGATTTTTCCGCCGTTTGAGTCTCGCATGCAATTTCAGACTCATCCCCCAACTCGGGAGTCAACCTGTTGCCGTCCGTCGAGGATTTCTCCTCGGTTGGTTTGTTCTTCGTGGCAGTTTCCGAGCCATCCTCTGTTTCTGAAGTCTTCAAGTCTTTTGAGGCTTCTTCTTTGGCGGATCGACCTCTTCTGCGAGGTTCCAAAGAAGTTTCTGCATCGCCTTTAGGAGTACCAGTGTTTTGCTCTTCCGAGGACTTTTCTTCAGTCTGTTCACTGGTCGTTTGCAAATCCGAGTCCTCTTTTATTGCACTCTCGCCTTTGATGGTGGATTCAGAAGTACGTGGCTCATCTTCCAACAGCTCATTATCTTTTTCCTTGACAGCAGCTTCTCCCTTGGTGTCATTCCCGCTTTTATCTTCTTGCGTTGCAGGTTTATCGCTGTCCTTCAAATTGACATCTTTGTCAAACTCATCGTCATCCGTCGATTTTTTGTTTTTTTCCTCTGCTTTTTCCTCTATGGTATCCGCAGAAATCTCAGTCGTACCTTTGTCCTCGCTGACTTTGGGCTGCAAAGGCTCAGACGCGCCATCTTTCTCCTGAGGCTCTGGCGTCGCCGGTTCACAAGCCTCCGGCTTCGACTCTGCCGACTTCTCCTCACTCTTCGAACTCGCGGACCCCTTGGCTACCTCTTCTTTTTTCAGAGGCTCTTCATCGTCCTCGGCAGCCGCGGCATCGCTCTTCATCTCCAATTCCGGCGAAGCCGACGACCTGCCGTCCTTCGAAACGGTTTTCAACGTCCTGCCGCGTTTCTTTGGAATCTGAGCAATGGCCCGCTCACTTTTCCCTTTGTTCTCGGGACTGATCGACCTCTCGTCCTTGGAAGATATACTCTTCTTCCTCGGTCTGCCCCTTTTGCGTGGCTCGGCCACCTTTTTCTCGTCAAGCTCCGTAGACTGCGAGCGTTCCTTCACCAAGCTTTTCCTCGAAGTTGGCCTGCCTCGTTTCTTCAGCGAGAGATCCGACGTTGGACTAAAAGCACATTAAGCCATCACAATAAAAAAATTATATTGAAAAACACGATATCATAGTGTCAAGAGAACAAACCTCTCCTCTTTGGTGATTTTTTTCTTACTCGGCGGCCGCCCGCGCTTCCTGCGCTTGGGCTCGGGTTCGGGCTCACTGTTCTCACTCAAGCTAGCATCCTCTTCGTCCTCGTCTGGCTCCGTGGTCGTGGTCTCGGATCTGTCATCCTTCGACCAGCTCTTGGCCGGCCTGCCTCGCTTCCTCGGCGAGTGGGTCATCCTGACGTGCCTGGCCAATTTGAGCGCAGCGTCGAACACATCGCTGCAGGTCTTGCACGTGAAATTCTTGGCCGGCGTGGTTTTGGGCTTCTTCGAGCAGGTATTCAAATGCGTCACTAGCGAGCGCCGGTTGCGGAAGTCACGCGTGCAGTTGTTGCACTGCACGGGCGAGGAGTGCTTGTCGCCGAAGCGACGCGGTTTTTTGCGGTTGGCCCGCTTTCGCTCCTCCCCTCCTTCTTCTTCCTCCTCCTCCTCCTCTTCTTCTTCCACCTCGTTCTCGTCCTCCGAAGAGCCGAGGCTGATCACGTCGTTCTCCTTGTCGCTAGAGCCCTTGGTTTTACCGGTACTGGCGGTTGCAGGGGTGCTGGAGTCAGGAGTCGCCTCCGAGCGCTCGCCCTCGTCGACGTCGATTTCAATCAGCTCGTAAGAACGGCCCGAGCGCTTGGACTTTTTGGCCGCTTGACGAGGATTGTAGTCGGGATCCGGCGACAGGCGTTTTTTCCTGCGGCCGCGCTTTTTGGCGGCCACAGGCTCGTCCTCCTCCTCGGAGAAGACGGACGCAGCTTGGATGATGATCTCGGAATCCGGTCGATTGACGGCTGTCAGTTGCTGCTTGCGCGGTCGCTTAACCTTAGCTGGGCCCTGGGAGCTGTCGTCCCCGGCTGCGGAGCTCTTCTTGCCCTCGGCTTTCGAGGTGTCGGTCTCCGAGCCCGAGATCGCGTAGCTGTCGTCGGCAAACATCTCGTCGAACTCGTCCTGCACCATTTCTTCCATCAATTCTTTCTTGATCTTGAGATTGGTCACGTGGATGATGTTGTTGGTGCTCGGAGGTCGGCTGGCGGCGGGCTTCCGCGTGTTCGAGTATGTTCTGTAGACGATCGGCGCCATCGATATCGGCTTTGTCACCGCGGGTTTCTTTTGAGTGAGTATCGGAGCGAGTTTAGGCGTAGTTTTGACGGTGGGCGAAAACTTGACGATGGTTTTCGGCTGTGGTTTCGGAGGCTCGGGAGTCTTGGCCTTGCTGACGGTCGTGGGTTTGTTGAAGTTCTGCAGGGAACGTTGCACCTCGTCAAACGTCATCTCGTCGTCCGAGTTTCCGTCGCAGAGGATGTACTGGACCGTCGACTGTTCAAGAATCTCTACGTCGCTGTCTATTTCTTCTTGAGGACGATCTGAAATCAAAGCGAATTATTAACAACGTTCAACGAAAATAAGGTAATATTAAACTCGATGCTTACCAAGAATGTAAGCTTCATTCTTGTCCGTCACGATGTAAGCGATACTCGTTTCAGATTTGGTCTTTATCTGTAGGTTGGAGATATTACTGACAGCTTTGGTAGGTGGATTTCTCGGAATCGGTGATTTGGCCATGTGTACATTTTTATTTCCATAAGTTTGAACTCGATTGAAAACTGTAACCGGTTTTTGTACATTTTGAACCTTTTTCGGTTCTGGTACTTGTATGATCTCCCTTTTCACCTCTATCGTTCTTTTTGGCAAGATATCTTGCTTTGGCAGATATACCTTCTTTGGTATATATACTTGCTTGGGAGAGGATATTAATTTTGGCCGAGACACTTGTTTCAAAACAGGTGCTTGTTTAGGCGACGATTCTGGTATCACTGTAAGTACTTGTTTCACCTGCGATACGGGTTTCAGAGGTGTTTCTTGTTTCGGTAGTATTTTTTGTTCTGTTGGTGTATCCGACAATATTTGTTTCGGTGAGGTATTTTTTGTTGTTTGTACATCTATCAATATTTGTTTAGGTGGTGTTTCTGGTATCACTTGTTTCGAAGATGTTGCTGGTGTTTCGAGTGTTGGTTTTACTGGTTCTCCTGGTATTTCTTGTTTTGGTGGTTTTTCTACTATTACTTGTTTTGGTGATTTTTCTGTTGTTGCTTGTTTTGGCGGTTTTTCTGTTATTGCTTGTTTTGGTGATGTTGCTGGGACCACTTGTTTCGGTAGTGTTGCTGTTATTACTTGTTTTGGTGATGTTGCTGGGATCACTTGTTTCGGTAGTGTTGTTGTTATTACTTGTTTCGGTGGTGTTGCAGGTATTACTTTTTTAGATGGCGTTTCTGGTGTTTGTTTTTGTGGTGTTCCTGATGTTATAAGTATTGGTGGTGTTTCTGGTATTTGTTTTTGTGGTGTTCCTGGTGTTATTAGTATTGGTGGTGTTTCTGATATTTGTTTTTGTGGTGTTCCTGGTGTTATTAGTATTGGTGGTGTTTCTGACGTAATTTGTTTTTGTGGTGTAGCTAATGTTTTTTTCGGGGATGCAACTGGTAATTTTTGCGTTGTTTCTATTTCAGGTGTTACTTCTGGTGTTGCTTGTTCTTGAGGTATTTCTGATATCTCTAGATTCGTCAGTATCTTTTGAGAGGGTGGTGTTTCTAATAATTCTTGTTTTGCAGGTGTTACTGATATTTCTTGATTTGGTTGTATTTCTGGTTTAGGTGGTGTCTCTGGTATTTCTTGCTTCGGTGGCGTTTCCTCATTGGATATGACATCTTTCTTCGGTATGATTTCTTGTTTGGTAAGAGTTTTAGAACTCGATGAGGTATCTTGGCTTGGTGTGACCTCTTGACTCACTTCAAACACAGGTTTTATCTCTGGTGCTATCTCAAAACTTAAGCCATCGTTTTTCTGAATTGGATGCGATTCTTGAAGCTGCACAGGCTGTACAGACTTCTTTTTTACAGTTCTCACTGCACCTTCCTCTATCAATCTTTCAACGTCATCTCTGAAGATAATAAAACATAAATGGTTGAGAGTGAAAAATTTAAATGTGTGAAATGTAATGAGAAAAAAAAAGTTAAAGTTACAGCACTTACTTCATTACAAAATGAAAGTTTGTTGGGGGTTCACCAGATTCATCGTACAAGGCTACTGCAAACACTTGATCTGAATTTTCAACAGCATACAGGGCTAACTGTTGCCCTGTAGATGTCACAAATGTAGCAATTGTCTCATCGTCGTCTGAATCTTCCGTTTCTTTGCCTTCTTCGGTGGGCTCGTCATCTTGTACTGTTTCTTCTTTTTTGACGTTTACTTGAATACTTGAATCCAAATCAATTTTTGGCTCATTCTAGAATTGAAATACGTACAGACAAAGATAGTAAGGTTAGAACCAACTAATCTGTAAAATTTCAAATACCATCATATTCAAATTCGTATTCTCAACTACTTCTTCTTCCTTTGCATTAGCTGATGCATCAGATGCGTGTAATGTGATGAGACTATCCATGTCAACGTTGGTATCCATGGATTCCATATTGACAGAAGATTCTGTACTCGTGACTACTTTGACAATTTCTTGAGAATTGTTATCAAATATTATCTATAAATAAAAAAACTTTCGTCAAGTACGGTAGTGCTAAGGTTTATAAAAAAACCCTTCTGCAAATGAGCTTATGATTACTATTTAATATTGCTACTGTTACACGTAGGTACTCGTATTAATAAAAGGATATTAAGTTGAGAAATGAATCCTTTGTAAGAATGTTTTGGTTATATGAATTTTATAAAAAATAATGATTCTTGTATCGTACGTAAAATAATAGAATATGGTTTAAAAACAAAACATAAACTCCAATTCTTTTAAAAAGTCGGGCTTACAGGTTAGGTTCACGTGCAATATTAATAGAACTAGAAACGGCATGGAAAAATAGTTTCATTAAGTATTCCTTAAAATAAACAACAATTAACTTTATGGAATAGATTTTTATAAGACCTAATGACTTTTTTCTCTTTGCACGACTACACCACAATACATGGAAAATAAGACAAAAGCATTTTAAGTGTAACTAATTTTTTTTTTAAATGGACAAAAATATTAGTAAAATGATATAACTTTCACAAAAACAATTGAAAAAATTCAAATTGGATCACAGCTTAATTTTGAGCAACCATTCTTACCTTGAACAAACCCCCCAACAACAAATAAAAAAAAAAAAAAATGAAAAAACTTAAATCACAACATTACCACAGCTCCCTCCATCAGCTGACTTTGTCCAAGCAGATCCATGCCACCAACGGACTCCCCAAGTTGCTGTGTTGGCTGCTCAAACTCAACAGTCTGAAAAACACTGTCCTCGTTCCCCACCGACATTATAGCACTTTTTAGAGGTTCTAAAATTTGTTCATCTCCTATAAAAACCACCAAATAAACTCGAAAACGGTTTCCCTCACAGCCCAAGCCTCATCCTCTCGAACCAGTTCTGGCTGTGATACATCAGCAACCAGGTACAATCATCAACATCATCATCCACTGTCGGTCCCATCCCCGACCGCCAAACCAACGAGCGTCTCTCCCCCGGATGAGTAGGATGTGCAGGCAAAACCAATCCGTGGTAACAGCTATACAGCATCCACAGCCAAACAACCATCGACGCGAATGGCTCGCGATATCATTCAACCGCAGCAGTGGACTCCAGCAGGGAGCCTCAAAAAGCTACAGGTCGACGAGGAAAACAATGTAAACACGTACGCCAGCCAGCCCTGGTGTACTTTTTTTGTATCACAATTGCTCGTTTGAGGTTAAGTTCTCCCAACACACATGCTCATATGTATATGTGCGTGTATACGCACCACATTTACAACAGCTTACAAAACAGGGAGTCCGCGACCTCAGAGGCCAACAAACTTACGTCGCAGCTCGCAGGGACCGCCAAAAGTGCGCGGTACACTCCCGCACACACACCACACACCACAGCTTCGTTGTTCGTTCTCGTTTCTTTTTCGATGCACACTTTCTCCGTTTCACGCTCACTCGACACTCACAGCCAAATGATGATTCCAACACAAATACGGACCGTATTAACGTCACTTGGGGTATATAAGTATAACTAAATGAGCAACGGATCGATTGCTTTTTTTTGTTTATTTACCCGCGCTGTATAGGTATAGTGCAAGGTAGCAACGTAATATCGTTGAAAAATAGGAGTAGGACGCTGCCATATGCATAGATGAAACCAGAGGTATATAGCACTAGCACTACACACTACAGCGACAGCAGTTTCACACAGCGACAGCAGCGCGAGAACTTCTCAGTGAGAAGTTGAGAACGTATAAATACATATATATATATAGATATTTGTTATTTTCTCTTTCTCGCTTCTTGTCCCTTTTACGCATACTTATTTGCAATGCATTTTACACTCACTCATTATTTATTGGTGGTCTTTGGTAAATCTATACACGTATATATTGAGGTCAGAACCTTAAATACACAAAAAAAATGTGTATATTATTAATACAATTTTTTTTTCAATACGTATTATCGATGATCGGTAAGTTCAGCATTGAATATACCAATCGCTGCTTTCACTAACCGTGTGAAGATTGAATAGTTTTCTTCCTTACCATGTCTCACCAGGTACATTTTATCGTGTAGTGGTAAGAACGTGTTCTTTCTTATTTACACCTCGTTAAATATCATACAATTTTCGTTATAATTATTTTAAATTTTCATTTTTCCTGTAAATCAATAATTAATCGATTGTTACCAGTGATAAAAAGTTGTATTCAAGGTTCTCAAAAGTTGAGAAAAGAATAACAGGTGTTTTTACCGTTTCGTTTTTTTTTAGAATTACAACTGTTGCATTTACAAAGTTGTAGAATATAAATTTCTAGCTGAAATTGTTGAAAAACTACTTTTGAGCTATTTTTCAAGTACGTTTTGTTTCGTATGTGTGTATCATTCTAATGTGGTATAACATGCCACACACGGAGGACGAAATTTGGCAGACTATAAGACAAGTATTATGTTCGTTTTATTGATTTCCACTATCCTTTACGCAGATTGAATAAGCTTTAGAAATTATCATGATTTTTTGACAAAATATTAAATTATATACTATTTTATTTTATATACAATACCAATTATGGCGTAATCATTTGAAACATACTATGTATATTTATTTATAAATACGGTAAAAAAAAGTGTCACTTTTAACTTTTTCTTAAGACCTAATTATTTAAATCGTCGATTTTTAAACAATATAACCTTATCTTCATGGCATATTGAAGATGATAGTGATTTCTTGAAAATTTTCAGGGTTGTGGGTTGTTTCCGACATTTTTTAATATGAAGGCAATTTTTGTTTATTTCATGCATCGATTATTAAATAACTATTAACATTTAAAATATTACTGATGAAGAGGATGAAATAACACAACTCATATAATTTTCAATGAACAAAGTGCAAAAAATTGAAATCATTCAAATAATTGCAAACAACTTAAAAATTTTTTTCATTTGTGTTTGTTTCAAACAAATACGAGAACTTATTTGATAAAATTTACTAGTTTAAATATGGCGTAAAAAACATTTAACATTCCAATTTTCAAAAAAATGAGAAATCTTTAATAAAATTGTCAGTATCACTTCATTAAAAAGGGATTTACGAAATTTTTTGTCTATTATGTGAATCCCCGAGTTGTGTCAAATCTTTAATAAAAATAAAAAAACGTAGTTAATAATCTCAAAAAGATTTTCAGGATAACATATTGACCAAAGAATAGTATGAATCCCCTGCCACTTTCGAAAGGTTATTGAAGTCGAACAGTCGATAATTTGTACGTCAGTTCCTACGTAGCATTTAATGCTCACATATAAATTAAGAATAACAAAAAGACCCGCGCCATGATCTCCATGAATTAAGTAGATTTCAACAACGGTAAGATTAAGATTCAATAATTTTTCTTGTCATTGTAGTGAACTTGTTAATGGCATATCAAACTTCAAAAATAAATTAAAAAATCTCTTGTAATTAAATAAATAAACAAAAAAGCACAATACTGCAGAGGAACTGGCTCATATGATCTTATGCAGCAAGAATCATTTTGATTCTCGTATACACAGCGAGTAAAACATGCATTTTAAATTTGTTAGAAAATTTTTACTTTAATAAAAAAACTTTTCATTATTCAGAGCTTGTGAACTATTAGTATCATTGGTGTTGATTCAGTTATTACGAGACAATTTAATGATAATTAATACTGACTTTTGAACATCGATAGGAGAGAAAAATTTATAAACTATTGTTTCCAAAACCACTCTTACAATTTTTACTGAATTCTAAATTCGAATATGTATATAATATAATATGTACTTATCCNATTTATGAGAAAATTATATAAAAAAAAAAAAAAAACATTGCGACCAGCATGGTAAACAATATATTAAAAACTTTTTAAAACTAATGTTCTTCATTTAGAAACAAAAATAAATTTTGACAAGCAAAAGAATGATTCAATTTTTTATGTGAATTATCGCGATATATCGTTTCTTACAAAGGTTCTGCTATAAATTATGACACACTCATTTTACCATAAAAAAAAGTAATTTATAAAAATTTCAGAATGAGTAACTTCGTATTTTTTGAGGACTTGAACGTTAAAGATTATTGGTTATACACCTTATTTATGGAGAGGTCTTTTGTGAGTTAGTGTCCAAAGATACTATTTGATTTCAACTTGGTTTGTTTTTACAGAATCGCATAAAAAAAAAAATCAGTAAATGGTACTTACAACCAAACTTTCACTTAAATTTTTAGTAAGCGTACACTGAAAGAAAAAAAAAAAATTATAGAAAAATTCCATGAAAAAATTACTATTCTTCACAGTAAATCGGATAAAAGCTGGCAAAAAAGGAACAAATTATTATTTTTAATGGTAAAAATTATTTTTTTAACGGTAAAAATTGTAGTTTGAATAGTTCGAACAATACAAATTACTGTGCTGGAACAGTAAACCTTTAAAGGATCGGTTAATAAATTTTACCTTCCCGCATTAGAAATTTGTACTGTTCTAACCATAATTTTTACTTTTCGAACCATAACTTTAAAGTTAACTTTAGCAGTTAACTGCTAAAACAATAATTTTTTCTGTTAACAGTAATAATTTTTCCTTATTGCATTCGATTCACTGTACGGAAAGGTAATTTTTGCTGAAATTTCTCTATGATTTTTACTATTTTTTTCGATCAGTGTAGTTTTATTGTTTTAATGACTCGTTAATTTAAAGTTATTTCATAACGTTATTTGTACATACATCGATATGATGGCACAAGTAAAAAAAAGTCAATACTGACTGTAAAATTATCTGATTATAATTATGCTGTTCGCTGATTTATATGTATGTACGCCAAATGATTTTTTGATTTGGGTCGTACAAAAATACTCGTACCACGAATATATGTTATACATAGAACTCACTTTCATAGTTAACGATAACCCCCTTGAACGAGTGTAGGTAGCTACCCTCTAAAAATAATAATCTCCCTCTGTATAACGATGAAATTCACTCGCTCTCTTTTTTACGAGCGTAACACTCGTATGTTACATGCGTGTACATTTCGTCGGCTATTATTAGAAAGGACTCCTCGATAGATTTATAAGTCTCATAGAGGGTGAAGATGAAAATTTTTTAATACACAATCTATCTTACCGGGTCGCGATCAAGTCCCCCGAAATCATCCCCATGCCGCCCTTGCTTATACATATATGTATATATATATATTATAAGTACAATGGAACGGCAAAGGTACTTATGCTAATATGGGCGCGAGTCGCGAGCGAGCCGAGGAGGAGGAAGTATCCGGAATTCAAATAGCGAATTATAATTGTTAATTCGTTAAATGATCCCGCGGCTCAGGTAAGGATCTCTTAAATCCCCTTCTTCCCCCATCCTCCCGACACTTAAACATTCCTCAAAACTGAAGTGCCCTATTTTTCTTTCCCCGAAGGAATGACTTTTGCGCCTCGCGTATAGCGAAAGTTTCGTTTTCCCAAGTTTCTCTTGTACTTATGTATACTTACACGCTCTTTGTCTTTTCTTTTTCTTCTCCTTTTCTGCAGTTAAGTAGTTTCATTGCCGGCGTGTTGCTGAAAGTCATATTTTTACATGCAAACAGTTGCGTTTGAATTAAAGATGCAAGTGTACTTACTTAGTGTCTTTTTAAAAATTTTTTTCCAACCTTTATGGGCTGGGATCCAGACAAGATCAATTATTTTACCTAAGTCAATTAGTGATATAGACAGGTGTCTCAGTTCTAAAACAAGTGGGGAAGCACTATGTTTTAATGCTGCAAGTACGCTAAGTGAGTCAGAGAAGATTCTAAAATGTACACTATGTTCATTACTTATTAGTTCGAGTACTTGTATAATAGCCATACATTCAGCCGTGAATATGGATGATTGATCTGGAACATTGCGAGTATATCGCAAAGATTCTTGTGGGCTCCAAACGCTAAATCCCACTCTATAATGTTCACTTTCTCCAATTTTTGAGCCATCGGTGTATAGATCAATAAAGGTTTTTCCTGATTGATTATTGTATATTTTCTTAAAGTCATGATTTGGCGTTTGAGAATGCGCTATGGGTTTACATGTATCAAGGTCTACCGAGATATTGCAAAATAAGTATTTGTATTGACCTAAGTATTTGTGATGAACTTTTCTGGACTGAATAAGTCCATTAAGGTGCCAAATTTTTTGGTAGCAGGTAAGTATTAGGGACTCGGTATAATTGTTTTCGTAGTGAAAGTTTTGCGATATTTCCATAAGTTTGTCCATATTTTTTATTACCTGATTGCCGTCAATTGACAGATTTTTTAATATATACTTCAGGCCCAGTAATTGAAACCTTGCTTGAAGGTATTGAGTTTTAGTTTCTGCGTGTATAACATTTATAGGCGTACTCAATCTATATCCCATGGCGATTCTTAAAGCATAGTTTTGTATTGACTGGAGTTTTTTTTTGATAAGTGATTGAGCAAGGGGAGAGAAGAAATCCACCAAATTCAATTCTTGATCTAACCATTGAATTA